AAGCTTTCTGACCCTCAGTTTCTTGGTCTGTAAAATGGGGATAATATTCATACCAACCTTAGGGGTTGTCATGAAGGTGAAGTGAAGCAATGTATATAAGGTTCTGAGCACAGTGCCTGGTTCATAGTAGGTGCTCACAAAACAGTAGCTACTATCCTAGTGATAATAACAATTATCACTGTTGTTCACTCACATGGAGCTATAGACAGACCTCACTTTCTCCCATCCTCCCCTTCTCCCTACTGGCCTCCTAGCTGTTCCTAAAATGCTTTGAGCATATTCAGACCTCAGGGCCTTTGCACTTGCTGTTCCCTTCATCCAGAAAACCAGCCTCAGATATCCTGTGTTCCTTCCACTCCCCTGATTTCCCTGACTCAGCTTTTATTTTGTTTGTTTTAGACTTATAACATTCTAACAAGATATAGAATTTACCTCCTATGTTTACTAGTTATTGTCTGTCCTTTGATTAGGACATGAGATCAGGATGTTGGTTTGTTTTGTCCCCTGCTAGGACAATGCTGGCATACAGTAGGTGCTCAGCAATTAGCTCTTGAATGAATGAATAAATCTGCTTGACTCCCTCACCTCTTCGGGTCTCTGCTCAAAGTCACCTCCTTTCAGATCCTTCCCTGACACAGATGTCTCCCCCAACCCCCTCACCTTCTGCCCTTACTTAGCTTATTCTTCTCAGCTCTCATCACCCCTGAGGTATCTTTATGTTTCTACTCTCCCCAGCTCCTTAGTTCCATGAGGGCAGGGGATTTTTCTGGCTCGTTCTAGCTGTATCAAGGGCCACCTTTCATGGACATGTGAACTGTGCAGTCTCACAGGGCTCCACGTTTAGAGGGTTTAATGCACTGCTGTCATTGTCTTGAAATTGTTCGTAATTTTGAACAGGAACCCTGCATTTTCATCTTGCCCTGGACTGTGCAAATTCTGTAGCTAGTCCTGGCTATATCCCCAGTGCCTGGAACAGCCCATGGTAGGTGCTCAAGAACTTGTGGAATGAAGGAAGGAATGGAGGAGTGGACAGCCAGAGGAGCTCCACAGGCCAGGGGAGAGAAGTGGAGATATGCATGCCATCACTGTCCGGACACCCATGCACATTTGCAGAAATCAGTCCTGGCAGAAACCTGGGCATGGGAGGCAGGCCATCAGCCTCTAAGCCTGCCTTTCCCTCCCCTGGGCAGCAGGCTGTCTGAGGAGAGGAGTCCAGATGGCAGAGCAGGCCACTCTGGGCAGCTAGCACCAAGCTCAGGCTGAGAGATGCCTTTCCCTGCACCTGGCTTGTCAGCACAATCAACCACAGGCCCACCCTGGGAGCCCCTGGCCTGGCTTGACAGAGGAGTGCTGGCTTCTCCCAGCCTGACATCCTGCCCACCCCCGACCTCTCTCAGGAGGATATGGGGACAGGTGGCCAACAAGAGGGAAAGGAGCGAGGATAAAGGCCTTGCCCACATCTTGGCCCTGAGCATCCAAGTCTGACAAGCTCCATGCCTGGCACTGAAGCAGGGCGGGGAAAACTGTCAGAGGCCACGTGCATGTGTATGCACACAGGTCTATGTGCATGAGACTTTATACACAGCTGTGCATGTGCAACGAGCAGGTAGAACTTTCTGAGTCTGAGTTTATATGGTTGAGACAATACTGTGGCTGCAGGAGCGCGTGTGTGTGTGTGACAAGGTGACACCACATCAGTCTTTGTGGGCATGAGGTTAGATGTACCTCTGTGTGGGAGAGTACATGTATGTGGATGCAACAGGAAGCAGCTTTTCACAGTGGTTAGAAATGCCAAACTTGGGTTCAAATCTCTGCCCAGCCACACACTAGTTATGTGGCTTCAGGCATATTATTTAGGTTCTTGGTATAGAGTGTTAGTATAATTACATTTGTCTGGATTTGTGTGTGTGTGTTTAAAGAGTAGTTCCACTTCTCCAGGAGGTCTTCCTGGATACCCAACCTGAATTGGACCCTTCCATTTTTCTTGCTTGTCACAAGCTGCCTGTTTCCTTCACAGTCCTAATCACAATTTGTTTTTATATATTTATTTGTTTGTTTATGTTGTTTCTTTTCTCTTTCCCCCAATAAATATCAGCTCCATGGGGGCAGGGAGTTTTGTTCTGTTCACTGCTGTGCCCCCAGCACCTGACATATAGTAGGCACTGAATACTTGTTGAATAGATGAATGCAGGGCTATATTTGTGTGGTATGGGGAGAGAGGTAGGTTCTTCCTAGGTATCATAGGTTCCTGGAGAGCCCTGTGCCCAAGTCTGGTCTCTACTATCTTCCTTTCCCAGCTGTTCACAGCCATTCCTTCAGCCATCCTCACTTTTATGGGAATGATGACACCTCATCAACTCCCTGTATCAGCTCTGATAACATCCCTTCTCTGGATCTTAGGGACTCACTCAACCTCATTGTAAACTGGGAGGATAGATGGACTGGTTCATGATAAAGCCGCCTTCATGATCTAAAATGCTAAGGAAATAGTCTTAGTCTGATTCCCTCTTTAATTCAACATTTATTGAGCACCTACAGTGTGCCAGGCACTGATCTAGACCTGGCCTTGCCCTCATGGGAGCTGAAATGAACAAGGAAGGCAGATACAAACCATAAATCTCATTTAATCTTTAGCACCACCCCATCACTCTCTATGCCTGATGGTATTTTAGTCTTCACAGTCTGAAATCACCATGGTGTTTCTCTGTTTACACACTGATCTTGCCCCCTTACCAGTCTGGAGGGTCAGCAGAGCAGGGACCCGGCTGGTCTTGGTTGCTGCAGCCCCACGGCCTGGCTACTAAGTGCCCGGGCACTTAGTAGGCACTTGGGCAATAGGTGTGAAATGAGTTAAGAAATAAATGATGGAGCAAGGGCAGGCTCACATGCATGACCTCGTGGAAGCCTCGGTGTGTCATTACCCACTTTGCAGATGGGTAAATTGAGGCTCAGGAAGGCAAAGCCATATGCCAGGTCCCACTGCAGCTAAGTGTGTGTGGTTATCGGATGCAGCAAAGGAAGCTTGGATAGCCCAGTGGAGCATTCCCAGCCCCCCACCCCCACCTCGCAGGTACCAGAGATACAGCAGGGGATGCGCTAATGGAGTGTGTGTGGCAGGAGTGTGTGTGTGTGGGGGGGAGACCAAAGGACAGAGCAAAACAACTCAGGGATTTCTGTCTCCAGGGTTGGAGATATACTGGGCTGGCAGGAGATTAGAAACGGTTTGGAGCTGATGGGAGAGCTTCCGGCGCCCTGTCCCCAATTCTGGGAGCTGGGGCTCCTGGGACCCGATTTAACTGGGGCCGGTCAGCTCCAGTCTGGAGACCAGGAAAAGACCCCTGCGCCTACCCGGGAATCCCGGGCATCCGGGGTCCTCCCCATATACCCCCAGTCCCGAGGCAGGCCTGAAGCCCTCAAAGGGCGTACGGGTGGCGGGGAGCGGCTTTCCTGGGGAGCGGGGAAACCCCCTCAATTCTGGCCACCTCCCTCCGGGGCTCCGGGTTCCCTCCCCACCGCAGCTCGCAGCCCGAAGCTTACCTTGCAGGGGAGCTGGGGAGGGGATGCCCCGCCCTCTCCGGCTGGGGGGTGGGGGCAGGAGGGGACAAGGGTGTCCAGACCCTTTGTTTGCTGCTGTGTATGTGTGTGTGCGCGATTGTGAGACCCGCTGGGGTGTCGGTCCGTGCGCGCGCGTGCCCGGGCTGTGACGGCTTCTGAGATCCTGGACTGCCCGGGCTGGAGGGGGAGGGGGAAAGGACTGGGGGACTCCCCCGCCCCCGCCCGCCCACTGACTGGTTTGAATGGAACTCAAGGTGGTGGGGCGGCAGAGGGAGGGCGCTTTTTTTCTGGATGGCCCCACCCCCTCTACAGGCGGAGAATCCCCCCCATCTGGAGACTTTTACTCCATTCCTCCAGCCCCCTTCCTCCAAACATCCGCTCTGGGGGAGTTTGGGAAGAGGCGCCCCTCACCTAAGGGTCTAAAGCTCCTACCATCCCACCCGACCCCCACGGAGTGCCCTTTAATCTGAGATAATCCTGGCCCTAGGCTGCGACAGAGCCTTTTATCCCGGTATCAAAGCGTGGGTTGGGATTTACGAGAAAGTGTGCGTGAGTCAGGGGTCGCCTAAACTCAGAATAATGGAGTCTTTAGAGCGCGGCCAGACGAAAGGGGAGCGGCTATGAGCAGTCCTGGAGTACCACTACGAGGAAAGCCCCCATCGCACCTCCGCTATCCACCCGCCTACACCACCACTCTGAGCTGGGCCTGGAATATTGGCCGCTGGCTAGACATTAGCGACACTCAGCGGCCACACGGGGAAACGCCGCGGATCCGCGCCCTAGGCACGTTTGAGGGGTCCAGGTGATTCCAGAGGGGGCGTGTGCACGAATCTCGGCTCTGGAGTGGTAGTAGTGGGAGTAGCACAAAGAGGCTGTGGTCCGAGCATGGAAAATACCAGCCCCAAAGGCAGGGCCACATCGCCACCACCTCCGACCCCCCACAAGGGCAAGGCCATAAATATCCCTCTTCCACTAAGAACTTCCCAAGGTAGGATCCTGCACCCCTCGTACTGGGAAGGTCCTCTCAGATCACATACACCCCTCCCCAGAGTAGGGTTAGAACCCAACTCACAAGGGGCAGAGGGCGAGTCTCCTCGCCGAGGCCTCGCCCCTGCAGTGGATTCGGGCTGATGTCACTGCGGCGTGGTTAAGGGGACAATTTTCTCCCTCAGTGTCGCCAACCGCATCCCCTGCCACGGCCGCCGCAAATTCCCACTGAGGAGTAGCGGGAGATGAAAGGGAGCACGACGCTGGAGCTCCCGCCTGTATACACCCAGGAGATGCCTGGCGGGGACCCCGCATCGGATGAGGCGAGGTCTTGACCGGGACTCCGGGGAACCAGGACTCCGGGTGGGCGGGAACACGCGCGCTGGGGCCTTTAAGACCAGCTCTGTCGCCAGTGCTGCCGCCGCGGTTACTAGGGATGTGACGTCACGAGCGGGCGGGGTTGCTCTCCCGGGCGGAAGCGGAAGGGGCGGGGCGGGGCTCCGCGGGACAAGACGCCAGCGCTGTCGCCCCTGCCGCCGCCTCCACAGTCAGTGCGGGCTGGGCCACAGAGGCAAGATGGTGGATTACAGCGTGTGGGACCACATTGAGGTGTCCGACGATGAAGACGAGACGCACCCCAACATCGATACGGCCAGCCTCTTCCGCTGGCGGCACCAGGTAGAGCGCGCGCGCCCAGTCCCTTCCCCCACCCTCCCGGGACTCCGCTGCAAAGTTCTGGTCCCTTATACGGCCAGAGACCCCGCTGTTGACACTTGAGATTCCCACCCCACAGTCCGGACTTTTAATATCGTCTAGGGCTGCTCGATTCAACTCCGGGACCCCAGAACTGCCGGGACCCTGAATTTCTGCATGGAACTACTAGTTGACCCCTAGGGCACCTTCCTGAGTCTGGACACCCAAGACACGCTTTGGGGGTGCCCCCTACTCCGTCTGGGACCTTCCATTTACACTCAGAGCTCTGCCTCAAGGTCTGGACCCTGATCTTGTTAGGGTCCACACTTCTGATCTTGCATATCCCATTGGCCACTCCCCAGTCCCTGGAGTCCCCAGTACTTTGAATCTATTCTGCGACATGCTTCCCTGGGTCTTGAGGGTGATTCTTGTTCAGATCCAGAAATCCCACCTTTTTTTCCAAATAACACAAGAAACTCTGGTCTCCCCTGGGGTTTTTTTTTTCCTGGCCTGGGATGCCACCCCACACCCAGGACTCCTACTCTATCCTATAGGCCGGTGCCCCATTAGGGCCCTTAGTCCCACCTAGGACAGGAGTTTGGAACCCGGTTCCCCTCCAGACCAAACTACCAGCTCCACCCTGATGTAGCCTCCAATTCTGGCTGCTCTCCTTCAGCCTTACCTACTGTAGACCCCATTTCCCATGACACCAGGAAACGCTACCCTTGTGGCTTCCTGTCAGTCCAGTGCCCCTGCCCCTATTTGGCACTGCAGACCCAGGCACCACCCGCACCCCAAGACAGCTCCCTATTGGAACCTCTGCCAGCATTGGAACACCTCATCCAAACCTTCCCTGCCTTCCTCCTGACCCCAGCCAGCCTGGTCTGCTGCTCTCAGACACCAGATTGTCCCTGCTCTTACCAGGAACCCTCTCCCAGCCTGATTCCAGATTCACTGCCCTTTTATATATTTGTCCCAAATCCAGACCCCAGACTCCCGAGCTTCAGTGTCCTCCTGCCTCTCTTCCTGTTCAGCAGTGTTCACAGACCAACAGTGAACACAGCTCTCATAAGACTTAATATTCTAACCTCCTGTTCCCACAAATCAGAGCTGCTGCACCCACATATCTGTGCCTGTTGTACTCTCAAGCTGAGGGTGTGTTCCTCTCAGAACCTTCCCATCTTCTGATATGGCAACTTCTAGTCATTTATCCAGAAACTCCTAGAAGGGCCTTTCCCATCCTGCCAAGGCGTTAATCCCTGCATCTGGTCCCCAGTCCCATTTCCACCCTATTCCTTAAAACAGCAGTCTCTTGGGTAGTTTACCTGCTGGGCAAGCCACTGGAGTGTAAGAAGAAAGTTCTAGCACTTCTATCACTTCTATTTCTTGTCATGTGTAACATTTATTATGGAATATTTAAGACCGCCACAAAGCTCTAAAGACTGTTCTTGGGAACGCATTTGTATCATATAAAAAGGTTAATCTATACTGCGTGGTGGAGACTGGTGCCCCCTCTCCTGTATCATCTACCTCCCACTATGCTCTCTGCTCCCCTCCCTCCCCGCCTGCTGGCACAGAACCTTTTCCTGTCCTGTCACTGAAAGCCTCTTGGCTGTTGCTGACAGGGGGCCTCAGCATCTCTAGCACCAAGTAAGCTTGGGGTCTAATCCCAGCCCTGCTTCCACAAGACCATTGCAAAAATGAAATGAGATTAGGTCTGAAAAGAATTTGGCTCAGGGCCTAAGAGGGGAGGTAGGATTAGTAAAAAGGTAGCCTGGTGCACTTTTGAGCACGGGCCTGCCCACCTGGTTTCAAATCCTGGCTTCTGAATCACTTGACTTGCTACATGACCTCCTGCGAGTTGTTTGATCTCTCGGTGCCTCAATATCCCCAGCTGCAAATATTAATAGTATCCACTCCAGAGGGTTGTTGTGAGGGTTATCTTATTTATTTAATGTGTATAATGCTTTTGGGTCAGTACCTGGCATGTAATAAGCTCTCTGTAAACTTTAGCCACTATCATCATCATTATTTAGGTAATTGACTCCAAGGGTTACCCAAAAAAAAAAAAAAAATCCAGATTCCAGAAGGCAACAAGTGAGTTTTCCCAGCCCTAGCTCCTTGGCTCCCTTGCTCAGACAGCCTCCACTGGTTTCTTGTGGCTTCTTCCAGTAAGCTGTGCTGCATCAAGATTGGATGAGCGTCGGTTTCTCCATCTGTAAGGCAGGAGGGCAGTGACGCCCGTGGGCCCTGCCCACTCCTGTGGCTTCTGCCCTGCGCAGCCTGCTACAGTCCCTCCTGGAGGTGTAAAGCACAGGCTGGGCAGGCAGCTGCCCCCACCGACTCTAGGAGGCCTTTATTTAGCTTCGGCCTCCCTGGCGGCTGCTCAGAGGACATCGGGAAGAACTTGGTGGCCGCCCAGCAAAATCCAGCAGGGTGGTAGGTTCCTGCTGCCACCCGAGGCCAGCTATGGTGCCGACCCCAGAGAGCCTCTTTCAAGGTAGTGAGAAGGCTCCTGGGCAACACAGGCCCTTGTGGAGAAAGAGGTTGCCACGGTGAGGGCCTTTTTGACCCCAGTCCACATGGGGAAAAGTGAGGCTTAGGATTGGCTGTGTCAGTTTCTGAGGCCCGGGTCTCCCAATTCTCACCCACTGTATGCCTGGTCCTATTGCTAGAACCTGGAGATAAACTTCGAATAAGAGACAGAAGTGAGTTAGCAGACCATTCTGGTAGCAGTAACCATGGCAATGGTGATAACAGTAAGATACTGAGTGCTGCCTTGCAAGCAGTTACTGTGGAGTAACTCATTTAGTCCTCACAACAACCCTGTGAGGCTCCATTTCACAGAGGGGAAAACCAAGGCAGGGAGTGGTTTAAGCAACTTGGCCAAGGACGCATCACCAGTAAGTGGCGGACCTGGGTGCTGTGACGATGTAGTGACAGCCACTCCCAGTTAAGGAGCCTTTACTCTGGGCCAGAAATCAAACTGAGCACTCGAAGTACAGTTTCTTGTTTGAGCCCCAGAAAGTTTCCTAGAGAAAGAGAGAGGTTGTCCCCTTGGACAGAGTAATGACAATAGCCAGCATGGGACTGGTGTTTGCTGGGCGTCCATGGCCCTGGACCATCTGCTTTAATTTATAATCTCCTTTGCTTCTTCCAGTGCAACCCCGTGAGGTCGGCGTTGTCTGCATTTGACAGATGAGGAAACTGAGGTTCTGAGAGGTTAGGGGATTGGCCTAGGGACACCCAGGCAGTACACAATGACCATGAAATGTGACCTCAGGTCTGGGGCCCTGAGGTTGTCTTCCAGCATCTCATCACGTCATCTGATGATCACAGAGGGGCCTTTGGGACTTGATGCTGGGTGAGGGGCACTTGGGAAAGGCTTTGTCAAAGCTGAGACTCGGGGGCAAAGCAGGTGGAGTAAGGGGAAGAGAGTTCCAGGTGGGGGGAACAGCATGTGCAGTTGCCAAGAGGCAGGAGAAGGTTGGTGTATTCAGGGAACCGTAAGGGCCAGCATCTGCCTGGGGCCCAGAGCTGGGAAAGGAAGGTAGGCCCCAGCCCCCACAGGGCCTTGGTGCCAGCTGGGCAGCTTGGGCCAGAGGTCCCAAGTTCCATCCGAATCCAAAAACTTCACTATGGGGCAGCGGGAAGAGCTGCAGTCAGATATATGTTTCAAAGACTCCTCTGGCAGCTTCTAAGCTTGGATTTGGTGGGGACACAGCTGTTGAAAGCAGTGGCACCTCTTGGGATTTAGTCAGTGGCTCTGGATTGAGCAGGCAATGCCAGGAGCCCAGGGAGATAATGGAGGAGCCCAGCAGGAGGACTAGAGAAGCAGACAAGGCCAAACAGTCTGGTAGGGGCCTGGTTGGGGGACTGAGCAAGGTAGTTGGTGAGATGGGTGCCATCACCAAGCTTGGGGCACAACTGAAGTGGACATCTGGGGTGTAACATCCAGGGTAGGGGGACAGGAGACTGGTGGGCACTGAGCTGGTCTCAGGAAGGCATGCTGGCCTGGAGATAGCAGAGAGACCTTGGCAGTGATCCAGGCTCAAAATTCACAGTGGAGTCAATTAGAGAACAATCTAGAAATGAAAACCGTCAGGACTTGGTGGCAGAGCAGGAGGGTTGGGCAAGGCCAATGAGCAGGCCTCAGCAGGGGACACAGGCTCTGTGGGGAATATCTTTGTTAAGGGAAGACCTGGCAGGAGACCAGGTTTTGGAGGGTAAAATGGTGAGTTCAGTTTTGGGCATGAAGTTGGAGATGCCTGCAGGACACCCTGGCAGAAGGTGGATTGAGGGGGTTGGTGGACAGAGGAAGGTGCCCAAGTATTGCCAAGAGAGGCTCCAGGGAAGAAGGGGAGCCCGAAACCCTGATGAGGGATGAGGCCCCATCTAGCTTCTCTTTATTCATCCAACAAGCATTTCCTGAGCACCTACTTTGTGTCAGTGTGTGTGTGACACAGTGAACAGACCCATCCCCATCTCCGTGGAGCCAGTACTCTTGGAGAACAACAGTGCCCAAAACATAATTGTTGCTGGATGTGAGTTAGCAGGTGACAAGTGCTGAGGAGGAAGATAAAACAGGACACAAGCAAGGGGAGGTCCTGATCTTCAGTAGGGCAGTCAGGGAAGGCTGCATCTATAAGGCGACATTTGAGCCAAGGTGGTAAGGATGCTAAGGAGTAAGCTATAGGGCGGGATCTTGAGAGAGAGTGTTCCAGGCTGAGGGAACAGCCAGTGCAAAGGCCCTGAGGTTCGAAATGGGTTTCAGAAAAGGTGAGCCAGCCGGTGTGTCTGGAGGGAGAGGATGAGCAGAAGGAGGTGAGGGCATGGAGGTGACAGGGTAGATCATTCAAGGCCTTGTTGGCTGCAGAAAGGACTTGGGCTTTTGCTCTGCGTGAGGTGGGAGCCACGAAGGGACCTGAGCAGAGGAGAGACCTGCTCTGACTCAGGTGTACACAGGTCCCTTTGGGGGTGAGGATGGAAGCTGGGCATCTAGGACACAGGTTGGTGCAGACATTCCTTTCGGCCATCTCAGATGCATCCTGGGTGCCCTGGGCTGGGGTGGGTCCAGGGTCAAGGGACAGGCTGTTCCCCAGAATGGTGGGCCCTCCCTGCCCACAGGCCCGGGTGGAGCGCATGGAGCAGTTCCAGAAGGAGAAGGAGGAGCTGGACAGGGGCTGCCGCGAGTGCAAGCGCAAGGTGGCTGAGTGCCAGCGGAAGCTGAAGGAGCTGGAGTTGGCCGAGGGTGAGGGCAGCAAGGCAGAGCTGGAGCGGCTACAGGCGGAGGCCCAGCAGCTGCGCAAGGAGGAGCGGAACTGGGAGCAGAAGCTGGAGGAGATGCGCAAGAAGGAAAAGAGCATGCCCTGGAATGTGGACACACTCAGCAAAGACGGCTTCAGCAAGGTGTGCAGGGGCTAGTGGGGGACTCCCTCCGGGGGCGCTCACACCAGTGGCAGGTGGGAGAGGGTGAAGACTGCACAGGTCAAGGGAGGGACAGATGAGGAGGCAGGTGGGGGGAACAGGTATGGGGGGCCGGGCAGATGAAGCACCCCACCGGTCCCCCTCTGATCTGCCCAAAGGCCCTAGTCCGAGGCCACACGTGCCACACCCACGCTCCTGCCACATTGATGTTCACAGCGCCATCACCGCCTCCACCGTGGATGGGATGGGCGCTGCGGCCACGGCCCAGCCGGCCACATTTGAGGCGCTCCACAGCCTCGCCCCAGCCCACTCCCCCTCTTGCCCCACCACAGAGCATGGTCAATACCAAGCCTGAGCAGGCAGAAGAGGAGTCAGAGGAGGTGAGGGAGCAGAAACACAAGACCTTCGTGGAGAAGTATGAGAAACAGATCAAGCACTTTGGTGAGTTGGGTATGGTTGTCGGTGAGGCAGCTGGGTGGGGTGCATGCGACAGGTGCTGGCTGTTTGCTTCTGGGCTCTTACAGCACCTTGTCACCACCTTGGCAGGCATGCTCCGCCGCTGGGATGACAGTCAGAAGTACCTGTCAGACAATGTCCACTTGGTGTGTGAGGAGACAGCCAACTACCTAGTCATCTGGTGTATTGACCTAGAGGTGGAGGAGGTGAGTGTGGCCTGCCCCAGGGTTGGGGAAAGGCTCTACCTTGAGGCTGCCACTTGGTGACGCTATGCCCCTTCTCCCTCTGCAGAAGTGTGCACTCATGGAGCAGGTGGCCCACCAGACCATTGTCATGCAGTTCATCCTGGAGCTGGCCAAGAGCCTGAAGGTGGACCCCCGCGCCTGCTTCCGGCAGTTCTTCACTAAGATTAAGGTAGCGCCCCTGAGCAGTGGGGACAGGGTGGTGGGTGGTCTTCAAGGAACCAGCCTGTGGTCCATGGGTTGGTGTGTGTAAGGGGGATATGAACACCTGAACACATGTGCATTGAGACTCAGACTGCTGTGATCAGAACCTCATACATTAGGGGAGGGCTGAGCCATGGAGGAGGTGAGTAGGCAGCTCCCAGACAGATTTTGGAAGTTGGTGAGGGACAGAGTCAAAGATGCATTCAGGTTTCTTACCCTGAGCACCTGGAAGAACAGAGCTCCCCATGCTGAGCTGGGGAGACTGGGGGCAAGGCAGATTTGGGGGGGTGGGGGACACATGATCTGGAGCTCGGGTGTGGCTGTGTTGAGTTTGAGGTGCCTGTGAAAGTCCCTACACGAGGACATCGAGGAAGTGGGTTTCGGGTCTGTGGTTCAGTGGGGCACGCAGGTGGGTGGTCATTAGCATATAGGCATATTTCATTTTATTGCGCATCACTTCATTTCGCTTCACAGATATTGTGTTTTTTACAAATTAAAGGTCTCTGGCAACTCTTTGCCAAGCAAGCATTTGACACCGTTTTCCCAACAGCATTTGCTCACTTTGGTCTCTGGGTCACTTTGGTAATTCTCTAAATATTTCTGATGTTTTCATTGCCACCATATTTGTTATGGTGATCTGTGATCGGTGGTGATCTTAGATGATACCAGGGCAAGACCCTCCACCAGCAAAAAAAGTACAACTCGCTGAAGACTTAGATGATAGATAGCATTTTTTAGCAATAAAGTATCTTTTAATTAAGGTATGTACATATTTTTAGACATAATGCTATTGCATTGTTAACAGACTATAGTGTAGTGCAAACATAACTTCTGTATGCACTGAGGAACCAAATGCCCTTGTGACTCGCTTTCCTGTGATACTCGCTTTATTGCGATGGTCTCCAAGGTGTGCCTGTATGGGTGGTAGAGTTCAGCTGAGGGGCGGACCAAATGGGGCAGAGGAGAGACCCAAGCCCCACGGCATCTCTGAGCACCAGCAGCAGGAGGGTCCTGGGTGCTCCCATCCTGCCCGACGAGACCCTCCCATCTCCTGCTCCCCACAGACGGCCGACCGCCAGTACATGGAGGGCTTCAATGACGAGCTGGAGGCCTTCAAGGAGCGTGTGCGCGGCCGTGCCAAGCTGCGCATCGAAAAGGCCATGAAGGAATACGAGGAGGAGGAACGGAAGAAGCGGCTCGGCCCCGGTGGCCTGGACCCCGTGGAAGTCTATGAGTCCCTCCCCGAGGTGCGGAGCCCCGGCCCCAGGCAGGTGGCAGCCAGCCAGCTAGCCAGCGAGCAGGACCCCCAGGGTCCCGGGAACCCTGGCCCTGATCCCCATCTCCTTTGCCCCCACAGGAACTCCAGAAATGCTTTGACGTGAAGGATGTGCAGATGCTCCAAGACGCCATCAGCAAGATGGACCCTGCGGTAAGTACCTGCACCCCAGGCCCACCCACCAGCCAGGCGGAGCAGCTTGCTGGGTCAGCACTGTCCCCCCCAGTTACCTTCCAGCTCTGTTGCCCGTGTTGCCAGTAGAAGGGTCTCCTGGGCTTCTGGAAGGGGTAAGGGAGGTTGGGTTACTGTGTGGCTGGCACATGAGGCAGCCAGGCTTTTGTGCTACATGCTCACATTTATTGAGCACCTACTGTGTGCCCAGTATCCAGATGAGTGTTACTGTCACTGTGGGCCTTTTATAGCCACCACATCCTGCTGACCCCATCTTTGCCAGTGACTCACGGTGGCCCAAGGAGGGCCTCCTCCCCAGCCTCCATTACCCCTTCAGTCCAGTTTCTTTCTTGCTATTAACTGGCCAGATGTATGGGGAGGGGTGGGCACATGGTAGATGCTGGTAAACCGCATTGAGCTGTCACCATTATTACAAGCAGTAATGGGGCTGGGAGGTGAGGGCTTTGAGGCTCGTTGGAGCTTGGTTTTACCTCATTCCTGTCAGTTGGCTCACTGGTGGGCCATACTAGTTTCCTCATCTGTAAAATGGTTCCAGTCACAGGATATGTTCTGGGGTTTCTAGAAGCTTCTGTGGGGAATGAGCATCTAAACCAAGGGTCTTTAGACTCCAGCTCGCAGGTTCACTGCCTGCCTTTGGTACGCAGAGGCCCTCTCGTTTATTTTCTCATTGTCTATGACTGATTTTGTGCTGTAACCAACCACAGAGTTGAAGAGTGATCGGTTGAGCAGTTGCCACAAAGACCATGTGGCCTGTAAGTCGAAAATATTTACTATCTGGTCCTTTGCAAAAATGTTTGCTGACCCTTCTAGACCTACACTATTTAAGTTTGAATTACAGTGAAGGGCCACCTGCACTGGCCACATTTGATGGACTTGGTGGCCACCTGTGACTGGTGGCTCATGTAGGACAGCACAAATTACAGATCATTTCTATCACTGCAGACAGTTGACAGCCCTTTTGGACAGCTGTGATCTAAAAGAAGCAGTAAGCAGGCTGGAGGATGTGCAGGACACAGGTGGGCCATCAGGCGGTGGCAGCCCGGCCTCACCCGCCCACCCTTCTCCTTGCAGGACGCGAAGTACCACATGCAGCGCTGCATCGACTCTGGCCTCTGGGTCCCCAATTCAAAGTCCAGCGATGCCAAGGAGGGAGAGGAGGCAGGCCCCGGGGACACGGATACCTTGCGGGAAGCCGTCAAGCCAGGCGAGGAAAAGGATGTCAGCGCGTGACTCAGCCCAACCGCCACCCACTTGCCTGCAGGCTCTGTGCACCCCTTTTCAAAAAATGGAAATAGATGCCATTGCCCTAGCTCCTGGCTTCTTCCACTTTCACTGTGTCCCCCCAACCTGGGGGACCTGCCCCCTCATGCACCCACCCCTCAGTGCTCATCCAAGTCTTGCTTTGAGTCAGGGGGCTTCACTGCCTGCAGCTCCCCCATCAGCTTTATGCCAAAGGCCCAGGGGTCCAGAAAGGGGCAGAGGTCGCCAGGCTGGTCCATGAGAAGGGGAGAGGGTCCCTAGCTGGGGGGCCTGCTCCAGTCAATGTGGGCTCTGGTTCTACTGTTTGTCCACTGTCGAGTCTTCTATATGGAAACAGCAGTGATTTTCCAATAAAGGATTTCACGTGCTCCACAGGGCCTCGCAAGGGCTGTTGGCACAGCTCTTCTCTTGGGAGGGTGGGGAGGAACCTGGTGAGTGTTGGTGGCTGGGCCTGTGACACCCGTGCTTTGTCCTCCAGCTATCTGGGTGACTCCCTCTGTGCTCACTCCAGGCACTTGCTGTTCCACTGCCTGGAACACTCTTCCATCAAAGTTTTTACCTATCCCCCTCCCCCACCTACTTTTCAGTCCTTGACTTACCTTATTCCTCCAAGTCCCCTTTCTCCTCCAGGTCTCACCTTCCGCATGGGCAGCTCTGCCTCCAAAACCGATCTTCGGTCTGACCACTGCCCTTTGTCCACATGGCTTCCACCCTGGTCCAGGTCCCCATCACCTCTGGCCTGGACACCTGCCTCATACTGAACCCCAACAGGCAGTGGCCAGAGGGTTCCCATGAATGCACGACTCGGGGCACGTCCCTCCCTAAGAGCAGAAGCCAAAAGCCCTCCCCGGGCTCACCAGGCCCTGCACTATATGCCCAGTCACCTCCCTACCCTCATCTCATGTCCTCCCTCCACTCCCTCCTTGCTGATCCATGAGCACTTTATCAGTGTGGATTTGGGCAACTCAGCCTCAGTGTCCCCCTCTGTACAATGAGAGGAATGGTAGTACCTTCCTCCCAGGGTTGTGATAAAAGGTGATGATGCTACAGGCATGCAGGCACCTGGCACTTAGGCGCTCAAAATATGGGCCTTGATGTGTTCCTGTCCCTCTGCCTAAACACCCTTCCCTGCAGTCTTCGAGTGGGGCTTCTTTTTAAAAAGAATGAAATATTTGGGCCTCAGGAAAGGCCTTAAAGAATAGTACAATGATCAAGGACACATCACCTTACACATGAAATAAACCAGTGAAGCCCTCTGCCCACACCTGTGGGACACCACCCCCAGCAGCTGCTTGTCACTCAGACCAGAGCTCAGTTCCACCTCCTCCCAGAAGCCCTCCTTCCTCTGCTTTCTGAGTTGCCCTTCCTGCCCAGCCAGGCAGCTTGTCTCACCTACCCAAGCGCTTGGTTTTGCTGACCTGTGTATTGTCTCCCTTATGCTGTGATGGCCACCAGGGTACAAACCCAGTCTTTCTAGTCCCTGAGATATTCACAGTGCCCATAAGAGGTCCTTGGCACACAGCAGGCTCTACGTAAATACTGTATTTGCCAAAGGTAAGGGCCCCAGAATGTCGGCGTGCCTAAGCTGGCCACCACCAGGGGGCAATAGTGAGCTGCAAACCAGAAGGCATCACCCACTGCTTTTCGTGTGGATGAAAAAGTATTGTGGGGGTGGCAATCCTAAGGTCCTGGATAAACCTCAGCCATCCAGGACTGTCAACTTGTTAATTCTTTACTGTGAAAACTTACAGAGATAATCCATATTTCAGATTTTTCCTTTTGCCTCAGGCTCCACTATAACCCAGCACTGTTAGTGATTCTTAAAATTTCGATACTTTGTTCATGGACTTTTTTCATGCTAATTGTGCTTTTTGAAAATATTGCATTAAAGTATTTATCTTGGTTACTGAGTTTTTTGATACCATCTTTGCTTTCCTGCCTCACCTGCCTCGCCCTAACTGTGGCCCTGGTAGGACACAAAATTTAAAACATCAATGCTATTAAGGGATTCACAGTGAAACGGCTCCCTCTCTACTCATCCTCCACTCTGCTGGTTCCCTGCCCCCAACCACTGGAACCCACTATCTCTGGTTTCTTGTGACTCCTTCCAGGGTTTCTTTTTATAAATCAAATATACTCTTATCCCTTCCCCTTCTTTTTACAGAAAACAGCCACTCCGTAATCTGAAATGCATCTTGCTTTTTCACTGAACAACATGACCTACAGATTTTGTCAGTCCATCAGTACTTTCTCATTCTTTCCTGCATGGAAAGTCCCAGCATGTGTACATTGTTATGTTTTTTTGTGTTTTTTTTTAAAGATTTTATTGGGAAATTGGGGGAGGGGAACAGCGCAGGGGAATCGGGGAAGGGGAGCAGACAAGTTGCTGTCCTTTTGTTCATTCTAGTTGTGGAGGACGTCGCTTCACTGGCCCATGTTGGTATTATCATTGCGCTCTTCTCGGGTGAGGCAGATCGGTCGCCGGCCACTGGATGGCCACTTACAGTGACTCTTGGCAGCTCACACTGGCTGCCAGGCCGCTCGCGCCGGCTGCCAGCCACACATGGTAGCTTATGGCAGCCCACAGCAGCAGGGGCTGCAGCCTACACCGTCGCCGGCGACTCAAGGCAGCCCAGCTCCAGGTTGAGCTGTTGTTCACCATCTTAGCTGTAGAGGGTGCAGTGTCACTGGCCCTAATGTGGGATCCGAACCGGGGTCCTGCTGCTCAAAGCTGGTGTCCCAAGCCAACTCTTAACCAACGTGCCACTCGGCCAGCCCCCAGTACGTGTACATTGTATTGGTTTATAATTACTGCATTTCTCCATGTATAAGATGCACCCTTTTTCGAAAAATTTGAGGCCTAAAAACTGGGTGTATCTTATACAATGGTTGTAGTTTTTTTTACTTGCATTTCCCGCTTTTTTTGAATTTCGCTTTTTTATGATGAATAAAACTTGAGTTCAATAACTTTATGTAATACATTTTTTTTCAAATTTCGGGCCCCAAAATTAAGGTGCATCTTATACATGGAAGTGTCTTATACATGGAGAAATATGGTACCCCTAGTCGTTTACAGAACGTGAAAGAATTCACAAGACTCAGGAAAGTAGGAAAGCAAGAAAGGGTTTATGAAAGTCGGGCAGTGAGGACCTATGGCAGTGTCTAGAGAAGGCAGCTGCCGCAATGAGAATGGTTCTGTTCCCACCTATGATGGATGTAAGGTGCTCGTCAGCTTGTAGGTACAGTGCTAGCCATGGGATTCAGAGCCAAGGGGTTCATTTTTAAGCTCGCTCCTGCTAACTCACAAGCTTGCTCCTGTTAACTTTTTACCTATCTCAGCATGTATTTCACCAGCCTTTTTTTTTTTTTTAATTTCATTAGGGAACAGCCATGGTCATTGGTGTTACACATTGCTTTAATGCTACAATGGCATAGTTGGCTCTTTTAAGGAGGGCACAGATCACAGTGGCCCATGCAGGGATCAAACTGGCAACCTTAGTGTTATCAGCATCATGCTCTAACCAGCTGAGCTAACCGGTCACCTCCCCCCCACACACACACACACACAAGCCCTTTTTGATAAACACTTGAGTTTTTTCCAATCTACTTTTTCTAGCAATGCCACCAGAAATGCCTTTGTATACCATTTCCCATGAGTACAGGCTTCCTACCTGCAAGAAAAATTCCCAAAAGCAGGACTGCTTAGTGCAGCAGTTCTCAACCTGTGCGTCGCGTCCCCTTTGGGGGTTGAACGACCCTTTCACAGGGGTCGCCTAAGACCATCGGAAAACAAAAAGACATTTACATTACGATTCATAACAGTAGCAAAATTACAGTTATAGAGTAGCAACGAAAATTATTTTATGGTTGGGGGTCACCACAACATGAGGAACTGTATTAAGGGGTCGCAGCATTAGGAAGGTTGAGAATCGCGGGCTTAGTGGGAAACAGAACTCCACTCAAAAGTGTTTAACTGAACAAACTAATGAAGGGACTGGTGTCAGTGATGTGAGAGGGGTTGGAAAACCAGCAAAAGTATGTTGAGTATATTAGTTTCCCATGGCTGCTTTAACAAATTGCCACAAACAGTAGCTTCAACACAAACCTTCTAGTTCCGCAGGTCGGAAGTCTCACCGGGCTAAAATGACGACATTGGCCAGGCTGTGATCCTTCTGGGGGCTGTTCTGGGTAGGATCGCTTTCTTGCCTTTTCTAGCTTCTAGAGGAGGCCTGCATTCCTTGGCTCAGGGCCTCTTCTTCTCTCTTCAAAGGTGGCAAAAATGAGTCAAATCTTTGAATCACATCACTCTGACCTCTTTTTCTGCCTCCCCCTTTCACTTCTAAGCACCCCTCAGGCTCATCTCCCTATTTTAAGGTCAGCTGATTGGCATCCTTAATTCTATCTGCAACCTTAATTCTCCCTTGCTATGCAGCATAACATATTCACGGGATTTGCAGGGAAGGACTGGAGCTGTTATTCTGTCAACCACAGTGAGGCACCCCAGAACTAGCAGCAGCGAAGATGGAGAACTGTTAACAAGTCCAGAGCTAAGGGGCATGGGGGAGGGAACAGCGTTAGTAGAGCTCACTAAGATCTAGAGCCATGAAGGATGCACTCCCTGCAGGATATGTGGCCGCAGACACAACCACTACCTGAACCGTGGCTGGGCTAGGAGGGAGTGGGGGCACAGATACCCCTTGTTTGTTTGTCTCCCACCTCTGCTCTCCTTCCAGACTTCCATTAGCACAACCCATCAGATGTCAGGACAAGGAAGCTGGTGGTACAACTTACTTTTTTTTGTGGCCACAGGAGGGAGCCCTCAATCCATAGCTACTCATAGGAAAACAAATATTTGGAGCTCCTGCTGGGTGCCTGGAATGGTGCTGGGTGCTGCGTACAGCCTAGTACAAGTTAGGCTCCACACCCAATATCCTTACCTGCTCAACTTCTTTTGTCCCTACCACTTACCACCTTCCAACACACCATTAAGTCCACTTGTTAGTATTTATCAGGTTTATATCAGCTCCTCCAGGGCAAGGATTCCTGTGTTTTGTTCATGGCTAGAACACAGCACACAGTAGGCATTCCATAAATCTGTGTTTTTAAATTGTGGTAAAATGCACATACCATACAACTGACCATTTTAATCCTTTTTTAGGTATACAATCCAGTGAGTGGCATTAAGTACAAGAAATTCTGTACCCATTAAACACTAATTCTCCATTTATAAAATATCTTTCTGTGTCTGGCTTATTTCACTTAGTATAATGTTTTTAAGTTTCATCCGTGGTGTAGCTTGTGTCAGAATTTCATTCCTTTTAAAGCAGAGTAGTATTCCACAGTATGGATACACCACATTTTGTTTATCCATTCATCAATCGATGGACATGAGTTGCTCCACCTTTTGGCTGTTGTGAATTGTGCTGCTATGAACATGGGTGTGCAAGTATCTCTTTATGAGTCCTTGCTTTCTTTTGTGTACATACCCAGAAGTGCAGTTGCTGGATCATATGGTAATTCTACCTTTAACATTTTGAGGAACCACTAAACCATAAGCATGTTTTGAATTCAGTAAGTAACCCAGTGTCAGGGGTCCAGAGACAGAGTGGGGGCTAAGCGTCCTCAAATCCCTTTTGTGCCTTTTCAATTTGGAACCCTGTGAATGAGTTACTTATTTAAAAATAAATATCACGCTGGTTAAGAGCTGGCTTGGGACGCCAGCTCTGAGTAGCAGGGCCCTGGTTTGGATCCCACATGAGGACCAGTGACACTGCACCCTCTACAGCTAAGATGGTGAACAACAGCTCAACCTGGAGCTGGGCTGCCGTGAGTTGCTGGCGATGGCGTAGATTGCAGTGAAGCTGCAGTGGGCTGCCATAAGCTACCATGTGTGGCTGGCAGCCAGCGTGAACTGCCAAGAGCCACCGTGAGCGGCCGTCCAGAGGCTGGCGACCGATCTGCCTCACCTGGGAATAGCGCAATGATGATACCAACATGGGCCAGTGAAACAACACCCTCCACAACTAGACTGAAGAACAAAAGGACAGCAACTTGTCTGTTCCCCTTCCCCTGATTCCCCAGCGCTGTTCCCCTCCCCCAATTCCCCAATAAAAATCTTAAATAAATAAATATCAAGCTTTCTTGCAATGGGTTTGCTGCCAGAACATAGGTGTCATGAAAACCACCGCCAAATCTAAGCCCAAATGGTAAGAGACTCATATCAACATTGTCATCATTGGACACATAGTTTCTGGCAAGTCTACCTCTGCTGGTCATTTGATCTACAAGTGTGATGGGACCAATGAAAGAACAATCAAAAAATTTGAGAAGGAGGCTGCCGAGATTGGAAAGGTCTCCTTCAAGTAATGCCTGGGTTTTGGATACACTGAAAGCTGAACGTAAGTGTGATACCACCATTGATATCTCCCTGTGGAAATTAGAGACCAGCAAATATTATGTGACCATCATTGATGCCCCAGAGCACAGTGTCCAATTCCATGCCATTAAGCACATTTACACTGCTGTGCACCCATTCCCACCATCCATCTCCAGAACTTCCTCATCTTCCCAAACTGACACTCTGTCCCCATTAAACACTCACTCCCCTCCCCTCCCCCAGGCCCTTGCAACCACCATTCTACTTTCTGTGTCTATGAATTTGACTCCTCTAGGGACCTCTTATCAGTGGAAATCACACAATATTTGCCCTTTTTTTTTTTTTGGCTTTCTGCACTTAACATAACGTTTTCGAGGTTTATCCACGCTGCAGCATATATCAGAACTTCGTTCCTTGTTATGGCTGAATAATATTCCATTGTATATATACACCACATTTTGTTTGTTCATCTGTGGATGGACACTTGGGTTGTTTCCACCTTTTGTGTAGGTGATGTTTTTATTTATTTGTATG